AGCTACCACTTACTTTCCTTCTGGGATATTTGGATGTTTGAGAGAGATATCTTTCCAAAAGTTTTATGTCCAAAGCACATACTAGTTTTGAGAAAATACTTATTTCTTGGCCTAAAATGAGAAGATGTATGAATGGGAAAATACGTTACTTGGGTGTGATAACTGAGTAGCTGGCAACATAAACTTAGTATGTTTGAAAGAGATATTGACTTTTAAATATTTTTATTGATTTCAGAGAGAAAGGGAGAGGGAGAGAGAGATAGAAAATCAATGATGAGAGAGAATTATTGATCAGCTGCCTCCTGCACGCCCCACACTGGGGATCAAGCCCACAACTCAGGCATGTGCCCCGACTGGGAATCGAGCTGTGACTTCCTAGTTCAGCCATAGGTCGATGCTCAACCACTGAATCACGCTGGCCAGGCTAGATATTAATTTTTAATTATGAGAAGTGGTAACCTTTTATGCCCTCAAAACCACAGTGTTTAAAAATGCTTTAAAAAATTAACAAATAACAGAAAAATATTGTAATGAAATTGATTCCAATTGGCCAAGATGCTCACTTCTCTCTTGATAAATCAGTGTTAATCATTATTTGCCTACATTAAGAATGTGTTCCTGTTAGAGGTAAAAATAGATCCCCAAGTGTCTGTGTGAAACCCTCATGAACACATGCATTTGTCATTCTTCAGCCAGGGTCAAGCAGCACTTAACCCATCCCACAGCAGCTAGGAGGATGACTCGCTTCTAGAAAGCTGCTGCTCTTAAATAGTTATGGTATCAGGAGACTTTGAGCAACAGACCAGTGATTTCCAAACACATCTAAAGATGCAGGCTAAGCCAGGACACATCCTCTTTTTATCTTCTTTAAGTTTTGGAGGTTTGGGAAATATTCACTGCTGAAAAAATTTTCCTTGACAGAGTTAGGAAAGAACATTAAGATTTTATGCTTTAAAAAATTAGATGGTGCCCTATCCGGTTTGGCTCAGTGGATAGAACGTCGGCCTGAGGACTGAGGGGTCCCAGGTTCGATTCCGGTCAAGGGCATGTACCTTGGTTATGGGCACATCCCCAGTAGGAGGTGTGCAGGAGGCAGCTGATTGATGTTTCTCTCTCATCGATGTTTCTAACTCTCTGTCCCTCTCCCTTCCTCTCTGTAAAAAATCAATAAAAATATATTTTACAAAAATTAGATGGTATTAGAGGGTTTTTTTAAATACAAAGGCAGGTGAAAAAAAATTTTGTATTGTTTTGATCATCCTGATTAAGGGACAGAGAAGAAGGAAATTTCAAGAAATAAAATAAAATATGTTTTTATTATTTTGAGTCAATATTTCATGCATGTTGATTTTCAAACAAAGGATTTTGACCTGAGAGTCATGGGGGCAGGTGGGAGTGGTGGAGGGGGAGAGGGCTGAGGAGAGGAGAGAAAAAAGAGAAAAGTTCTGTGCATGTGGAGAGCAGAGAGGTGTTTATGAATGTGCTCCGGATTAGAGGAGTGGTAACAGTGATGAGCTAACTGAGTTAGTAAGAGCATGAGGCAATGAATTTGACAGCCCTGGTTTCAAACCTAGCCTTTACCACTGGTTGTCAGTGACACTTGGGACAAATTATTTAACCTCCTTGCTTTCACCTCCTAATCTGTAATAGGTGCAGAGCAACACGAAATCTCCATTGCTTTTAGAATTGAATGAGATCATACATAAAGCCCTGAACACAGTGCCTGGCCCAGCTTAAAGCTGCTGTTAGAGTTTTTATTATTCTCTTCTGGCAACAGATTTTTGCGGCTGTTTTGACAGTTTAACCTCACATCTCCACCAAGTTGCCAAAAGAGAATTTTCCATCCCTGCCCCTCTTAACCACACCCTGCTTTAATCATGAACCAGATTTCAACACCATCCCTGAGAGGTCACCACCTTCTACAGATTTTCTCTGTGTAGTTTTAAATTTCACTGCACCTACAAATGTTAAAAGCAATCTATCAACCAAAGTGATACTTAGCACCTCTTATTAAGAGACTGTACTGTTAGAGTATGCCCTTACAGTCTAGAAAGGGAAAACATGTTAGACATGAGTGAGGACATTCACAATACCCTCCATTCCAATGACTTCAAGACAGTACTCTATGTTTTGTTCAGGCAGGAAGAGTTTATGCTTTATAAGCCATCTCTCCAAGGGCTACCAATATCTCAGCAATGTCAGCATCATCCAACACCTCTACATAAGCTCCTATCTATCTATCTATCTATCTATCTATCTATCTATCTATCATCTATCTATCCATCCATCCCTTCATTTATCTTACAAAATAGTTCTAATGATGGAGCACTGTAGGTTTAAAAAATTTTTTCTCCTCACATTTGATTGATGTTCTGTGTTTTTGTGTTGTTGTTTTTTTTTTTGTTTTTCTTTTCAGATTTCAATTTTGTCGTGAAATACACCACACCCAATTTATAATGTAATTATCCCCAGAACATTGGGAACTTCAATTTTGGAATGGATCTTGACAATTCAGTTATTCTCCATCTGTATCAGCTACTTCTTGTGCAATGATGGAAAACATAACTAAATCTGGCTTTAACAACAACAAAAGCAGAGGGGGGAGTAGAAGCTAATTTTTTGGCTCTCTGAACCAAAAAAGGTAAGGGTAGAACCAGCTTGGGCAGTGGTTCTCAACCTTGGCTGCACATTAGAATCACCTGGGAATCTTTTTAAAATCCTGATTTTAAAAAGAAATTTAAAAATCATCCTCCAGAAATTCTGTTTCTTTGTTATGGGGTGGGGCCACAACATTAGTAACAAAGAAACAGAATTTCCAGAGGATGAGGCCCAGAAATCAGGATTTTAAAAAGATTCCCAGGTGATTCTAATGTGCAGCCAAGGTTGAGAACCACTGAGCTAGGGGCTTGACAGGTGCCAATAAACATTAATTGTGCTACATACTTCAATTCTACATTTTTAAAGTGGTTGCTTCATTCTTTCATTCCATGAGATGGCGAGCTCCAAATCCAGTTGGCCCCAAGTTTATGTCTAAGAAGAGAGTTTCTTTTTATCCCCCCGTCTCTTTCTCTCGAGTCCTATCAAAAGACACATTGGATGGGAGAATTCTGTGAACACAGAAGGTCAAATGGATGCTAGGTACAATTGCAAGATAGCTGGTAGACTGTACTCTCCTCAAGTAGCTGCAAGGCAAGAATAAAATGATTCTTTAAATTAGGCTACCCTGAAACCACACTTTCACCTTTACTGGACTATTTGGAAGTAACCGACCTATATGGCCATCTCAAAGTATCTCATCATATGCTAAGTAGCTTCTCACCACGTGTTAGTCAAGCAGTACAGTTTGAAGAAACATACAGACAACTATACCGCAGCTTTCATAATACCCACCTCTTCATGTAAGCTATCAGACATTTCATCCTAATGTTAAGGGGAAATAACAATGAGATAATAACTCTTTTAGATTTGTGTGCTGTGCATACACAGTTTAAAACAAAACAAAATAAAACAGACAATCAAAACAAAAACAGAGAGCAGCTTATACCTTTGAGATACATGAGATCCATAAAGATTATTCTCTCTTAAGTCCACACTCACGTGGACCCAGGGTGCACAAGATGATGTGGTACGTTACTGCTCCCTTTACTGAGAAAGCTCAGAGGGTTCTTGGGAATGCTCCCTATGACGTTAGGAAATCAAACAGAACACGGATTTGCCTGAGACCGTATATTTTGGAGTCTGTGTTATCTTGGCCAAAACTAATTCTTCATAATCATGATAGTTGTCATTTCAGAAAAATTTAGAATGACTTAAATTGTTATTGATGATTCATTGGATAGGAATGTACATGGTTTAAGTTTCATGAGGTGAGGAGAAAGAGCTTGTTAAATACAGTCAGGGCTTTTTAAAAGATTGTAGATAGAATTTTAAAGCAATTTAAATGAAAAAAACTTTTCCAAACAGATTACAGCTGCAGTCCTATATAATAAAAGCGTAGTGTGCAAATTGTCCCCTCCACTAGGAGTTCGTCAAAGAGATTGACCAGGGGACAGGGAGGCCCTGGCCTGCAGCCAGCAACCACTAGTGACCCTACCAGTGCATGAATGTAGGGCACAGAGAGAAAGGCAAGGGCTATGTGTTGCTATTTAGATCTAATAACCCAAGGTGGATTAGTTGACATTTTTGCTTCCCTTTTATGAACATAGATCCAATATTCAGTTGTTCAAAAGCAAATTGCCAAGTGTGTATGTTTTCTAAGAAATTAATGTTTTTCTTTCTTCTGCTGGACACTTTTGAACTTAAAGAGAAAACATTTACAAAAGGCTAGATGGAAACTGGTATGAATTGTAAAGTGAAAATTTTGGATTATTCAAGGACTTTAATTATTCATGCTTCTTTTGGATTTAGTTAATACAAACTAAGTTGAATTGCTCTATCACTTTTTCATGTGTTACTAGTTTTCATCCTGTTGTAGTCCAAATATACCTTCTTTTGAAAAAAAGCAGTGCTGAATATCCCAAGAATTCACTATGACACGGAACAGCCCCATCTTGAATGGGCGTATGTGAAAGTTGAAATCCGAAGTAAAATTTGAAGGCCTATTTACAAGCTTGCCCTTTAGTGTTCCCAATTTAGCCTTACTCCTCCCCACTTTTTACTGGCCTCTTTCTGGAAAGCTGGACAGCTCTTCAATGTTCAGGATAACTGCTCAAGTTACACTCTATATGGAAGCTCTGGCACTCTGCTAGTTTTATATGAGGGTTTTATTAAATCTATGCCAAACAGCTTCCCATCATTGGATCAGCTAAAGATGAAAGTTTTTTGCTCAAGTGACAACTTTGTATTAAAAGCAGTTTGTGTGTGTGGGGGGGTGTGTGAGGGTGTGTATGTGTGTGTGTGTGAAAAGATGGATATTTGCCTATATCAGATACTGGGTTTTCATACTAACACACATCAAAGGAAAAGTTTGCTTCCTAACTGGTTCTCATGTTTTCTTCTAGTTGGCTTCTCATCAAGATGATTCAGAAAATGCTGCTGAGCTGTGGTGCACAAACAAGGACATGAGGTACTGGTGACTCAAACCTTATCAAATAGGCTGAGGATTCTCTGTAGAGTCCAGGGAGTGAGTGTCCACTTGAAAAGACATGTAGGCAGAAACATGGGAAAACTTGGTTGTAACAAACTAAATGGAGAGTACAGTGCATTTGTTTGGAGCATGTAAGCATTTAGCATTATGGTATGTGTATGGCAATTACTGAGAAGAGTAAAACCCATGATGGCAGCCTCATTATCCTCCCCTGTAGAAGAGTGGCACTAATGGGTCCTTGTAAATTTTAGTAAAAATCAAAACTTTTTAATTGACAATTAAGACATTTGGCTATGATTATAAACTCAGAGAAAGACATGGGATTGTAGGCTTTCCAATCAGGTCTGAACTTGTTTGTTTGCTTTTCAACATTCGTGCTGATTAAAAATACTTTTAGTTGATGGAAATTTGGGTTGTTTCCAGCTTGGGGCTATTATAAATAAATCTTCTATAAACATTTGAGTACAAGTCTTTGGGTGGGTTATGTTTTTATTTCTCTTGAGTAAAAGTAAAGAGTAAAATTTGTGGGCTATCTGGTAAGTATATGCATGCTATTGGTATGGCTAAACATACAGAAGTGATTGTACAATTTTGCATTTCCACCAACAATATATATGAGCTATAGTTGTTCCATATCCTTGCCAACACTTGGTATGGTCAGTTTTTTTTTTAATTTTTGCCATTCTATTGGATGTGTATTTGTATCTTATTGTGGTTTTATTTGCATTACCCTAATGAATAATAATAACCTTGAGCATCCTTTTCTGTGTTTATTTGTTACCTTCATATATACTTTGGTGATAGGTCTGCTAAAATATTTTGCTTATTTTTTTATGTTGTTTGACTTTTCATTATTGAGTTGTAAATATTTTTATGTCTATTATATAGGTTCTTTGTCAGATACATTTTTTGGAAATATTTGCCTTTTCATTATACTGTTTTTAAATGAGCGAGCCTTTTAAATTTTGTTGGGCTTCAATGTATCAATTATTTTTTATCATTTGCAGATTTTTTTTGTTCAATCTAGGATATCTTTAGCTGAAGGTTACAAAGATTTTCTCAATTGTTCTTTCAGAAGGGTTATAGTTTTAGCACTTACATTTAGGTCTACAATCCATTTTGAGTTAATTTTTCTACATGATGAAAATAAGGGTCAAGTTTAATCTTTTTCATTGTGAATATCTAATTGCTCCAGCACCATTTGTTGATAAAATTATCCTTTCCCCATTGAAATACCTCAGCACCTTTGTCATAATACATTGACCCAATATGTATTTGTCTATTGCTGGACTGTCAGTTCTATCCCATTGATCTGTATTTCTATCTTTTTTGCCAACACCATTCTATCTGGATTAATGTAGCTTTACAGGCTTAAAAGTAGGTAGTGTAAGTCCTACAACTTGATTTTTCTGTTTCAGATTTTATCAGGGGCAATTTTAGATCCTTTGTCTTTCCATATAAATTTTAAAATTAGCTTTTCAATTTCTACGAAAATAAAGCTATTTGACTGGTTTTGCATTGAATCTATAGATTAATTTGGGAAGAATTAACATCTTAATATTGAGTCTTCTAATCCATGGAAATGGCATATATCTCCATTTTATTTGTCTTTTAACTTTCTCTTCACAATGTGTTATAGTTTCCAATGTACAGGTCTTTATAATCTCTCCCTCCTACTCTCTACCCCATCTCTTCCTAGTAAGCATTGATCTGCTTTCTGTCACTATAGATCAGTGATGGCGAACCTTTTGAGCTCGGCGTGTCAGCATTTTGAAAAACCCTAACTTAACTCTGGTGCTGTGTCACATATAGAAATTTTTTGATATTTGCAACCATAGTAAAACAAAGACTTATATTTTTGATATTTATTTTATATATTTAAAAGCCATTTAACAAAGAAAAATCAACCAAAAAAATGAGTTCGCATGTCACCTCTGACACACATGTCATAGGTTCGCTATCACTGCTATAGATTAATTTGTTTTCTATACTTTCTAGTAAGTAGAATCATACTTTTCTGTTCGACTTTCTTTACTCAGTATAATTATTTTGAGAGTCACCCACATTGTAGTGTGAATCAACAGTTCGTTCCTTTTTATTGCTTAATAGTATTCCCTTAAATCAGTGGTTCTCAACCTTCCTAATGCCGCAACCCTTTAATACAGTTCCTCATGTTGTGGTGACCCCCAACCATAAAGTTATTTTCGTTGCTACTTCATAACTGTAATTTTGCTACTGTTATGAATCGTAATGTAAATATCTGATATGCAGGATGTGTTTTCATTGTTACAAATTGAACATAATTAAAGCATAGTGATTAATCACAAAAACAATATGTAATTATAGATGTGTTTTCCGATGGTCTTAGGCGACCCCTGTGAAAGGGCCATTCGACCCCCAAAGGGGTCGCGACCCACAGATTGAGAACCGCTGCCTTAGATGAATATACCACAATTTGTTTATCCATTCACTGGTTGATGGACATTTAGGCTGGTTTTGAGCTATTACATATAAAACTTCAGTGAGTATTGGTATACATATATTTCTTTGAGTTCATACTTTTATTTCTCTTAGATAGATACCTAGGATGGAAAAGTTGGATTTTATGGTAGATGTATGTTTAATTTTATAGGAAACCTGTTATCCAAAGTGGTTGCATAACTGTATATTTCCACCTGAAGTATATGAGATTTTCATTTGTCTCATTACTATATTAGTTCTAAAATTCATATTTTCTTTGACTATGTTAACTAAAAAATCTCTTTTGTATATATTTTAAAATACTCCATATTTGCATATTGACATTTCATCTATGAATTAAAGCCTTTCTAGATGCAATCACTATTTAGGGGGCAATTAAATGTGGTGTTGCATTTTTACTGTATTTACAAAAATTAGTATTTGATTCTATTCTATTCTTGTTCAAAGCTGAGATGTGAGCCTGAGAGTGCAGCAACCATGTTTAGAGTTGGCCCAAGAGAATGGGGCTGGTATGCAGGGAAAGAAAGAGAAGAGAAGAGATACTAGTAAAGGTGGAGTTGAGACAGATTGATAGAATTCAAATCCCTGGCTTTAGCATTTGTTACATGAGATAATATGTTTCACTTTTTGCCTTAAAAGGGGTACTACATGTCTACCTGCTCACATGGTACATCATCTAGTTGATGAGGCCACAATAACAGAAGAATAATAACATACCATCCAATGAAAAGAAAAGGCAGAATATGACATCCTGCTAAGTGATACCCTTCTGCTTCTATTGTACCGCTTCTCGGGCTGAGGCTCCTGTGGTGTTTCTACAGTATAATGCTTCTCCTATTCCTGCTCAAGAGTCTGGAGCTCCTGTGAGGAGTATGTGTATGGTATTTAGGTGGATGGTATTTAGGTAATGATATGTCTGCTTATAAAATACTTGTACAATTTTATAATTTCATGCCTCATTTACTTATTTTAAAACCTTCACTCAGGCTTCATCACCATTAATAAGTTCTCAGATGTGTGTTTTTTTTTAGTTTTTAAGTTGAAAGGTGTTACGTTAAACATGTTCACAGGTCATCTTAAGTGTTTGAAAGTTGCCCACAGATAAAAGATATTCAGATAGTAAACCTTTCTCTTATTGTGAATAAACAGACTGGTTCAAATAAGTATTTGCCTGCCCAAGCAGTCCACTTACCCATGAAGAAACTTCTAGTAGCAAGTAGTATAGTCAAGAATCTCTTATTAAAGCATTGCCATCATATGTACAGATGCGCTCCTACAAATCCTATAGGATCAGAAATCTGATCAACTCCAAAATTACTCTGCTTATGCTTTGTCTTGACAAAGACAAACAAAAGAAAGGTGTAAAGTCACACAACTTCATAGTAACGAAGGACTAACACTTCTCTCTAAGGTTCTTCATCTCATGCAAGGCCAGCAGAGCCCTGTTCAATGCATATCATGGACTGCTGACAAGATCTGTATTTTTGTAATCTGGAAATTCCTAGAAGATAGCTTTTTAACTCTTTCTTTTCCACTCAGGAAAGAACTTAGTCAGATCATCAACTATAAATGCATTTAAAGTTCATGGATCCTGGGGCCCATTGGTGTGATTGAATTTAATAAATATTCCATGTAAATTCCAAGTAGCTAAGAAACTGATTAGCTAAGGTAATGTGAGCATGGGAAATGTGAATGTAATTTTCAAGGTGATTGGCCTTACAGAGTGGATAGACCAATAGAGAAACCAGGCCTATCAGAGCAATGCCTGGGTCTGTTTCTATCCAACCTGACCAAGGCAATCAAACCAGAGTTTTACCACATGCCTACAGATTCTGAATAAATTGCCAGCTACCCGTGCTTCAGGGATTTGAAGGAGACTAGGGCACTTTTTTTTATTAAAAACAAAACAAAACAAAAAACACACCCTAGCTGGTTTGGCTCAATGGGTAGAGCATCGGTCTGCGGACTGAAGGGTCCCAGGTTCGATTCCAGTCAAAGGCACATGCTCAGGTTGTGGGCTCAGTCCCCAGTAGGGGGCATGCAGGAGACAGCTGAACAATGATTCTTTCTCATCATTGATGTTTCTATTTCTCTCATCTCCCTTCCTCTCTCTGAAATCAATAAAAATATTTAAAAAACAAAAAACCATCAAGGGCTGAAATTTTCTTAAAAAAAAACAACCCAACAAAACAAAAACCACACATCAGAGAATTCTATCCAGCTGCATGATATCTCGTGCAAGGGAGACATCTTGTGTTTCTTTAAGCCCAGAGGTTTTCTTTTCAGTAAGGACAGATGGAAGCTTTTCTTCATTATCCTGGATGATCCTTTGCAAGGCAACTTTATCCTGAAAAGCCAAACCCAAGTCTCAATTTGGGCTTCAGATGAGGCGATGTACATTTTTTACCTTAGAATTAAGACACTTGGACCACATTGGCTATGGATGGAACTCTTCAGTCTCCTATTTTTTAAAGTTTCAGGCTTGAAAACACAGAGTA